AAGACATTTTATAAAAATTAAGAATATGTCAAAATGACATTGACATTTCAAACCGGAAGTTGCTTATATCTCGAGTAATATTGAAATTAAACGTATCATGTTTGCCCTCATTTTAAAGGATTTTTCACGACGATTACAAATAAGTCAAAATTGACGTTGACATTCCTAACCGGAAGTTGACCATAACTTCATTAATATTGAAGGTAAATATGTCGTGTTTGTACTCATTGTAAAGGATTTTTAATGAAGATTACAAATATGTCAAAATTGAGGTTGACATTTTAAATCTGAAGTTAGTTATCATCTAATAGACAAATGGACAACTTTATGGTGCTCTTTCATGATGTATTCTTTATTAAAAAACCTTTAAAATGAGTCCAAAGATGACGCACTTATCTCAAAAAACAAAAAAATTTGAATAAAAAAACGTTAAACCCGAAATTAGCAACAATGAAGATAGGCAATTTAATTATTAAATTATACCAACATTAAATTAACACCAACCTTAATTTTTAATTTTTTTTTATTGTATTTTTGTTTTTGTGATAAATTTTAAAACATTTTATAAAAATTAAGAATTTGTCAAAATGACATTGACATTTCAAACCGAAAGTTGTTTACATTTCGACTAATATTGGAATTAAACGTATCATGTTTGGGCTCATTTTAAAGGATTTTTCACGACAATTACAGATATGTCAAAATAGACGTTGACATTTCTAACCGGAAGTTGACCATAACTTCATTAATATTGAAGATAAATATGTCGTGTTTGTACTCATTTTGAAGGATTTTTAATGAAGATTACAAATATGTCAAAATTGAGGTCAAATGAGCCTAACGAAAGGATACATTGCCATTTAAAATACTTCAAGTGTTATTCGTTGCTCATTTATTTTCTGCAATAAAAACAATTGAATGCCTTATTATGGCAAAGAAAATATTAAGCAACTTTTATATAAATCGTTTTTTTTTTAAGTTGATACTTACCAAGATACTTATATACTATATTCCATACATAATGGGCATCCTGTATATGATATTATACTTTTCCTCCAATGACGTGTTTCCTACCTCGCCCTGTCAACGTCAAATTTGTTCGAGTTGGATAACCTTATAACCAATACTCAACGGACCTTGGGGTACGATAATTAATTAACACAGTGTACCTATAACAACTATCATTTAAAAAGTTATCACAATCGACGAGAGATTCATCCGCAAATTTTTCAAAAACTTCAGAAATTTCTTCAGGCCAAGTATAAAGACAAGCTGATCCTAATAAAGCAAATCCACCTCCTCCCATCGCAACGAAACCTTCAGTTTTGTTGATCATCTCATCGTATTTAATTAATTCTTTGTTTCCGAGATATTTAGTGCAAGATAAAACCCCTAAATATTTATTGTTGGTATCACCAAGTTTAGAAACCATAATTTCTCTTCCTAAATTTTCCCATAAATCTTTTTGACTCATTTTGATCGCCTCATCCAGATTTAAATTGCTATAAAATGTTTTACAAGGTTCTATTTGAAATGTTTTTCTTTCAAAAAACACCTCATTTAATTTCTCAGCTATAAAACACTGAAGCAATTTTGTTACGGTTTCTATCCGTTTACAAGCACTTTTTGCATCGTTTTTAACGTGTTTAGGAGCTTGAAATAAACCGTTATAGTTTTTAATTATTATATATAATGGAACTAGTTTTTGTAGAGAGGTTTTTGGGTTAAAGAATACTTTTAATTCCTTTAACAGACAACAGAAATTCATTATAATTAAATTTAATCCTTGTTTTAATTCTAATAGGACTTTAAATTGTTTATCGGTGTTAATAACATTTTTTATATTATTTCTGTTTAAGACTACCATAAATTTATTATTAATTAAATCACAATTATTATGGGTTATAGTTCCTTTTAGTAAAAACGTTGAATAAGTAAGTTCTTCGTTATCTTTTATGTTATTTATGATGATTTCGTTTGGAACCTAAAATGTTATAAATGTTGTAATTAGTTTAAAAGGTAATCGATAGATGGCGATGAAAATTAATATTGATTTGGAAACTTAACCTTAAAAAATAATTATAAATATTTAGAATCGATCAATGAAATAATAACATACCATTTTTTAGATAACAATTTCACTTAATACATTTAAATAGTTATTTATTAGGGATAATTTAATTGAATCTTTTTAGTTCTTAATTTTGAGGTTAGAATTTATACAGGTGATTATAGAAGTACTACTTTATCGATGTTATAACATATTGATATTTGATTTAATTGATTAAATTGCAATATTGAAAATTTATAGCCGATTATTTCTTTAATCCGTTTAAATAGTAGTTATTAAGTTCGATTTCGTTCCATTTACTTATTTTATGTAATTATAATAAAACTACTTTACCAGCATATATTGAAAAGTAAAATGTGACCATTTCCCAATAGATGTCACCATTCGAACAAATTCAAATTTAAATTTTTGAAGTTATATTTTTAAACTTTTATTAAATAAATTAATATATAACAATTCTGATTATATTTGAAATCTTTTTATAATTTATTTTATTTTTTTGTTTAAAGTTTATAATAATATAAAAAATGGTGATCAATATACGTAATAAAATTAATACAATCATTGCTGAAGGTGAAGGTCATAACATCGAAATCAATCCACATTTTAACTACTTACGTATAAAATACGCGATGGACAACAAAGTCCCAAACAATATTTCCTCGCTTTAAATGCGTACGTACGTAACGAGCGCAACATATGCGTCAATATTATTGACGGTCAAGTTCAAGTTCTCTTCGTGTTGATTATCTCTCGGGCGTCTCTAACGTACTTACGTACGCCAGTGATTGAAGGTTAAACGATTGCGTGCAAGAGAAATTGTGTCTTTAAAATGTCTGAAACAGGAAACAAGATTTGAACTGAAATGAAGTAGTGTTTATTTGCACACATTTTCTATCTTTTTCCATCTCTTTTCTTATTATTATTACAAAATGAATAGCTTAAGTAGTAGTTTATTAATAGAGTTTGATAATAAGCGTGTGTTGTATGGAATAACGTTTTATGCGTATGAATAGTTGTGCTTTTTGGCGATAACCTTTCGTTGAATTTCCCCCTATTGCGCTGTTTCTTATTGTTGGTTTGGTTTAAGCTGGTTCTGTTGATAAAACTTTAAAATTATGGTTATCTAATGACATTTATGTAATAAATAGTTAACTTAGTTGATTTCGTTTTATTTGGTTATTAATTTGTCTAAATATTTGCACGTTTTGAAATAACCTTTTCTGCATTTAAATTAAACATTTGAATCATAATCGATGAAATGTATCGACATTAAAGAATTAAAGAACTGCAATGGATTTTTCATCGACTTCTAACATTTTTCAAGAGTGTTTCAGTGAAACCAATTTTTAGAACTTAATTTCCGGAATTCACAGGAACAGTTCTTCCTTTACTTACTCAATCATGCTATAACACACCATTAAATATTATGTGTGCGATATCTTGATAAAAAGATGTTATTGTGTTGTTAAATTACAATTAAGTTAAGTCCATAGCGACTTATTGATCCTTCACCTACGATTGTTGTTTTTTGATGCCTATCAGTTATATGCGATGCAATTTGTAGTAGTGATTTTGCGGATTTTTGCATTAAAAAAAGGATACTTTAATTAATAATTGGTGATATTCCACAAGGATCCTTCAAGAAATTAATTTTATAACGAATTTTGAAAATTATTGATGAAAATTGCAACATCGAAAATTTTATCAAAACTTCAAATATTGTTTTCTCAAAAACTAAAAGTTATTTTTCAAAACGTGTTGATTCATTGGAAAGAGGGCACTTTTATTAACATTTTGGGAAATTTTCATACTCATATTCGCAGAAATCGTTTTTATACGAATTATTAAAAGTTAATCGGTGAAAATTGCAAAATTTGAAAAAATTGTCGATTATTTCAAAAATTTTTTTCTTAAGAACTAAAAGTGATTTTTTAAAACGGCTTGTTACATTAAGAAGAGGATACTTTAATCAATAATTGGCGATATTTCCACAAGGATCCTTCAAGAAATGAATTGTATAGCGAAAATTTTTATTTCGTCTTTTCTTTCTTCTCTGCCAGTAACTTACGACGTTCTCTTCATATTCGTATTTTAATCAAATCTATATCCTTTTCAGATTAGAGATTATACAAAACATTGATAAAATGTTAGGGCACATAGATTGAAAGGTCTGCGCCAAACGAATTTATAGTCACAGTAAGCGTAATTTATCTGTATTAACTTTAAAAATGTAAGAAAAAATCCAAAATAAATTATTTCACATTAAGGAATTAATGATACAACTTAAAAATATAGTAACACATTTTTAAATTAACTTGTTTTAGTACACCCAAACGTCATTATTTAATTATTTACGCTAACCATTTTCTGAAAGTAAAAGAATACAGAACCTCTTGCTCACTTCCACTATCNTTTGTTTACCCTGTACCAAATTTCAACGCTCTACCATAAATGGTATTGAAAATATTTAGAAAAATGTGTTAAAATTTCTGAACTTTGATGGCCCATATCTTAGCCATTTGAAGACTTTTATAATAATTTTTTTTCACGAATCGTCATCATTTCTGCTCTAGTATATGAGGTTAATTTTATGCCCCGAGTCACCGGAACACCCTGTATACTTGAGTCTTCCTGCCCGTGACTTTGACTTCGGTTTGGATGTAGGTCTTCTCAGTTGGGCCTTATTTTTTATGCAGTGTGAGCCGTGTTATGGGACAGTGGGTAAGGGAGAGGAGAGTGATGATGAAATTTTTTAGGGCGTTTTTGGGAAGTTTATAATTGCTTTAAGGGATAAAGATTGTAGACGGGAGTTTATAGGAGGAATCTTTGTAAGGTCGTAAAGGAGTTCGTTGGAAGGGTTGAAAAGTGGGTTGTGAGGATGTCTAATGCGAGTGATAATTCTCAGGGCTGCTCTCTCTGCTACTTCCAGATGGTACTGTGATCCTCTCGGAGCTTCAGTCATAATTAATGAGGCATATTCGATAATAGGTCGGCATATTGAGGTGTATATGTGAGTAGCACATTTGGTGGATATTCCTCGGCCTCTATATGAGAGTGAGCGGAAGTGTTTGGCGCGGTTTTTGATTTTCATTTTTACTTTGATGGCGTGGGCAGAGAATTTAAGGGTTCTATCCAAGGTAATGCCGAGGTAGTTGCAAGTTGGTGAAGCTGTGATAGGAGAAGATTGAATTATTTATCAGGGTACCCCATTTTCGGTACCATTCCTCTATGTTTTGGATGAGCGTCTGCAACCTGAGGATTGATGATGGCATATCTACATCATGTGCGACGAGAGTAGTATCATCGGCATAAAAAAGATCGAAGACGTCTGGGTTGTCGTTGTAGATTCATGGCAGTAGACCTTGTACAGTGCTGGCGAGATGGGGAGCCTTGAGGGAAACCTGTAAGAGTAGTAGTTTTTCACTTTAACCAATGAGGAACGGTCTGAAAGAAATTTTTTTAGCAGGTTAAGAAGATAAGATGGGACCTCTGTGCCATACGGAGTCGAATGCCTTCCGAACATCCAGGAAGACTGCGGCAGATTATTGTTTTTGGTAACGTGCGACTTGGACGTTTGAGACAAGCACTGCCAAGGGATGAGATGTAGATCTACCTTGTTGGAATCCAAATTGATATGACGGAATCCACCTTGCAACAACATCGAGCAGCTTGTTCTTTAAGTGTACCTCGAAAAGATTCCCTATTACGGGTAGCAATGAGATAGGACGGTAGAACACTGAAAGTGATTTTTCAAAACGGCTTTTTGCATTAAAAAGGGGATACTTTAATTAATAATTGGTGATATTTCCACAAGGATTCTTCAAGAAATGAATTTTATAGCGAACTTTGAAAATTGTCGATGAAAATTGCAACATCGAAAATTTTATCAAAACTTCAAATATTGTTTCCTCAAAAACTAAAGGTTATTTTTCAAAACGTGTTGCATCATTGGAAAGAGGACACTTTTATTATCACTTTGGGAAATTTTTATACTCATATTCCAAGATGTAGATTTTATACGAATTTTTAAAACTTAATCGGCGAAAATTGCAAAATGCGAAAAAAATGTCGATTATTTCAAAAATTTATTTCTCAAGAACTAAAAGTGATTTTTCAAATCGGCTTGTTGCGTTAAAAAGAGGATACTTTAATTAATAATCGAAAGTGATAACAACGACAGGTCTGTTAGTAATGAATTACAAGCGAAGAGAAGAAAACTAAACGAAAGTGCAACAAGAGATTTTATATATCACATTGGGATTGTTACAATGAGGTTGCTAATGACAAACCTGATATAAATAAAGTTGTGTTCAATGAATATTCAACTATTGGGGTTGAACTTGATTATTATAGTACTAATTGTAAGTAGTGGTAGTAGATTATTATAGTATTATAGTACTTAGTACTAAGTTATAGATATTTGGTAACTATCCGGTATCCAGCCGGATTTAAAATAATGGCCGGATAAGCCGGATACCGGATAGTTGCCGGATATCCGTTCCACCACTAGTTGAGATAGAATTACAATTATGTATAAACCATATCAGACGAAAATTGAATTGTTCCATTGCAATAATTTATGTATTATTCTTGAATTGTCTTCAGAAACAAATTTCTAAATTATTCTACTTGATTTTCTTTAAGTTTCCATTTCGACCATTTATACAAATACTTATATTAAAAACTTCTTTATCGTTTAACTTTCATTCGCGGTTCGAGTCGACAACGAAGCCGTCGAGCTCCCCATTCAATGTCACTTGAAAACCATGACTTTCCTTTCGGATGTTCACCACGATTTTTGTGGACCTACTGACCTAATAATGGGCGCCGGAGTACGTCGAGAAATGTAAATAATAAAATCGAAATCGATGTAGTATAAACGGAACAACTCTCGGAAAACGAAAAAATATCCAATTATAATAAACAAGGACAATAACATTAAATTTCAGGTGATATAATTAAGTTAATTTTGTTTTTTTTTCTACTTAAATATTTTTTTCTTGATTAATCTTAATATTATTTTATTTAAGTTGAAGGCCCAAAATGTAAGTCACACACACGCGTTCTTCTTCTTCTTCTTCGTCT